ATTATTTGAAAACCTCTTTTTATATCAATTAATAAATAATTTTTTATATTAATAATATTTGTCTAATTATATTTTCTTTTATTAAAAACTCATAATAAAAGCAAATTTGTGGAAGAGTTTTAGAAAAAATAAGTAATTTGTGATAGAATTTTATAAAAATTATTTTATTTTCTTTAAATATATCCTTGTCTAATTAGATTTTATTTTGTTAAGAAACTCATAAAAAAAAGAAGCTAATTTGTGGTAAATTTTAAAAAAATTATTTTATTTTATATATCAATTAAAAAATATTTTTATATTAATATTTCTTGTCTAATTAGATTTTCTTCTATTAAAAAATTCATAATAATAAATATATAAATAGGTTAATTTAATTTTATTAAGTAGATTTTGGAGTTAACTAATTTTTATTTTCTTTAAATATATTCTTGTTTAATTATATTTTCTTTTATGAAAAAACTCATAATAAATAGATAAATAGGTAATACGTGTTAGAGTTTTGTAGAAAATATTTTAAAAACTATTTTTATATGAATTAGTAAATATTTTTATATATTAATAATTCTTGTCTAATTAAATTACCTTTTATTAAGAAAGCTCATAATAAAAGGTAATTTGTGTTGGAGTTTTAGAAAATTTATTTTATTTTTTATATCAATTAAAAAATATTTTTTGTATTAATAATTCTTGTCTAATTAGATTTTCTTTTATTAAAAAAATTATAATAAATAAATAAATAGATAATTTGTGTTAGAGTTTAATAGAAACTCTTTTAAAAATTCTTTTTATATCAATTAATAAATATTTTTTATATTAATAATTCTTATCTAATTAGATTTTTTGTCTTAAAAAACTTATTATAAATAGATAAATAGGTAATTTGTGTTAAAGTTTTATAAAAACTCTTTTTAAACCTTTTTTTTTTTTATATCAATTAACAAATAATTTTTTATATTAATAATAGTTGTCTAATTAGATTTCCTTTTTATTAAAAAAAACACTCATAATAAATAGGTAATTTGTGTTAGAGTTTTATAGAAACTCTTCAAATATATCTTTGTCTAGTGTAATAGAATTTTATTAAAAACAAAATAAGTAATTTCTAATAGAGTTTTATAGAAATTATTTTTTTTTCTTTAAATATATCCTTGTCTAATTAGATTTAATTTTATTAAGAAACTCATAATAAAAGCTAATTTTTGGTAGAGTTTTAGAAAAATTATTTTATTTTATATGTCAATTAATAAATATTGTTTATATTAATAATTCTTGTCTAATTAGATCTTATTTTATTAAAAAAATTGATGATAATAAATAGATAAATATGTTAATTTAAATTTTATCAGATAGATTTTAGAGTTTTATAGAGTTTTTTTATATATAAAAACTCTTTTCATATCAATTAATAAATATTTTTATTTATAAATAAATAAATACTGAAACTCTTTGTACATTTAATAATAGTATAGATATAAACTTTTTTTATATCAATTAATAAATATTTTTTTTATATAAATAAATAAACACTAAAACTTTATACAAATAAATAATGAAACTCTTTGGCAGAGCTTCTGTATTTTATTTTGGAGAGAATCAGAGTGCAAGTTTAGAAAATGATGGTGTGGAAATACCTGAGATTGAATTAAAGTTGGTAATGTCGAAACTTTTAATGCTTTTTTTCATCATTGTTTAAACTTGATAAAATGCTCAAAACTATGCTAAAGAGAGATGGCAATTACATTGATTAAGTATTTTTGTTTTTTCCATATTTATGTTCTTATGTAGAAAAAAAAATTCAAACACACCACATGCAATTTCAAGAGTGGACGTGTGGATTGAAGGCCATACTAGAAAGGATAGAACATATATAAATGAAACGGTGGAGGAGACCGTGGTAAGATATATTTCCCTTTTAGTTTAAGTAGCAGATTATTTTTATATGCATTTTATACTTTACAAATATTATTTTTTCAGAAAAAAATGCAATAGTATACCAAGACAACTCAAAGTTCAGGATATGGTGATGATGCACTCACCGCTGTAATAGGTCCTGAACGTGGAGGAAGTGTGAGAGGGCTTGGGTTTGGGGTAACAATGACAACACTGAATCTCTGAAATGGTTCTTCTCAAAAATATGATAGGACTATTGATGAATTGAAACAACAATATCAAGAAATGAAAGAGAAATTCCAAAGACGAGGAAAGGCAAGATCAAATGATGCAACTACTTCAATCAACTTTGGTAATAAATCTCTATAAATTTGATACGATGTCTCTCTAATTATAACACTAATTATACATGAGAAGCATTATTTACCCTTTTTTTTTTTTTTTTTTTTTTTTTTTTTTTTTTTTTTTTTTTGCATTATTGTGCTTTGGACAAAATGCTAACAACTAGTCCTCTCCCATTGCTTCACGTCAAGTCTCACCTTCTGAAGATTTGGTCGGCAAGTGTTGTGAGTTATTGTAATTTCATGGGACAAAATCAGTTGTCGCCAAGGGTGAGATTGATTCAGCGGATCCAGATTCTCTCATAGGTTCTGCTCCACTTGGTTCCAACTATTGGAAAGTATGGATCACTGAAGTCATTGATTCCAGTGTGCCCTTAAAGCTAGCTTCTAGCAGTAGATAAAAACCCCAGAACAGCTTCAATCAGTTACCTCAAGCATTGCATGTCACTCCCTTGAATAATGCTCTTTGTTAGTTATTGTGTTTTTAAGTGATAAGTCCATTATATATACTAAAATGTTAATGGCAGCTATACCTACTTCCATGCTTGTCTTCTCCTTTTTCCCTTAATCCATGGAATACCACCTCATTAACCACTAAGACCACTTTTTTTTTTTTTCTCTCTCTCTCTCTTCTCATTGATAATCATTTCTTTTCGATTCTGTGATGTCAAGTATAACTTAGTAATTGACATCTCTTAATTAAAATGATTAAAATACTCTGTACTGACATTCCAAATATAAACCATGTTCTTTTGTTTGGTATTCTTAATTGTTTGTCATATACTTGTTTATGCTTGTATTCTACTCATTTATCTCCATCAGTGGAACCCACGTCAATGTAGCGCATCTAACAAAATATTTTAAGCAGAAAGGAGAGTGGTAAATATCTATGATTATATAGTTGAAACTTTCTGCAAATTGATGCTAGGACTGCGTGATAATGTCACAATTGATAATCCTGCTTTTTGCGGTGTACTTGTCTAATTTTAACTGGTTCAACATATAAAATTTTGACCCATTGGAACCTCAATGGGTATAGATTTACAGCATAAATGCTCTATACCTATATGCTAAAAATATAATTGAGATCCTTCAAGATGAGGAATTAATTAATTTGTAAAATGTGCACAAAATAAATGGACACATGCTATAACCAGTCACATACTATATAGGGTAGGGATAGCTAGTGTGATGACCTACCATACTCTAGTACATTACTCCTTGAATCAGACTGCCCTGAGGTGTAAAAGACTTATTATGTAGAAGTTACTGCAGTAGAAAGAATTGTATGGCCTATATCCACGGCAAATACATGAGAAATAAATGTGAAAGAACGCCAACAGCCTTAATGGAATGCACAGTTCAGTAACATGACAAGGGAAGGAACAGAAAATAGAAAAACAAACATAGACACTGCTTCCTCTGTGCAGGTAATAAAGACAAGTCCATACTTGACAGTCTTGACACAAATCCAACAGTATCACATAGAAAATATGATACGGATCCTAAAAAAAGATTAAGGCTAGATGCCTCTTCATATTTTGTAATACATGAAAATCACAAACTTGAAGTCGGATGAATATGTGATTGTATTGGAACAAAATTGAAAATGAACCTCCATGGGACCAAATCAAGGGTGGCAAAGAAAAGGCCTTGGGAATGTTCAAGGCTGTTGAAGCCTACTTCTTGGCAAATCCTGATGCCTACAACTAATGCTGCTAAGAGTGTATATTGAGATATATATGGTCTGATGATTAAAGTGCCTTTTCTTTTTTCTTTTTCTTTTTTATTGCTTTCAATATGTTTTTTCACCATGTCAAAATTTGCTTTTGGCTTTTGATTGTCTGGTTGCTTGTACGGTTGGATTTGATAAAAGAGTACTATTTCAATAAATACAAATGTTTATGGTTAATAAGCTATTTGTTTTGGAATATGGGGGTGCTGTAAATGAATCTGCAAGCTTCTAATTGAGTCTTCCTATCATTTCTATCTGCATCAATAAAACAAAATAAAAAAATTTGGCCAGTGGCAGTTGAAATCTTGGCATGATCGCCTATTTGGGCCGCAACTAAATTCAGTCCTGCCAATTCATTTTGTATTATTAAAAAGTTCAAATCACCAATAACTAATCAGTTGAAATCACATTGAAAATTCTGAAACCAGGAATGTTGATGTACACTTATCAGTCAGTTACTCTTAGGCAGTTGGTGATGAGTGGAACTCCAAGGTGCTTCATAAGGAGAATACCTAAGCCAATTCCTAGTAGCTTTCAATGTACCTTTATTATAATGCTTACTTTGCTTGGTTTAATTTCGGCAACTTTACAACTTACTTTACATTCTTTTACTTCAACTATTACATCGTTGCAGATCAAAGTTAGGATTGTGGGATTGCGTTTGCCGTTACTTTTTTTGTTACCGCTATATTTTTTGTATGGCTTATAAAGAAGTTGCATATATGGAAAAGAGACTTTATAGAGCAAGAAGATAGAAGAATTTTTGTTTTATTTTGGTTAAGTAAAGATGTAAGGTGTGAATCATGTACTTCTTTAAAATTTGTATATGGTTAATTTTTGTATTAAACCATGATTTGGAATTGGTTATATATATATATATATATATATATATATATATATGATGTTATTCATCAGTTGTAAGTTATTTTAGTTATGATGTTATTTTTATTTATTTAGGGTTTGCTTCTGGGGTCCTTGCTAGGCTATAGTAGGGGGGGAAAAAAAAAAAGGGGCCTCATAGGGTCTATATACTATTTAAAAAAAAAAATTATATAACACTTTCTACCACGGTTCTAAACCGTGGTCGAAAGTTTTCTTTCTACCATGGTTCTACTTATTACCACGACCGTTTTCATTGTGGTTTAAAACCGTGGTAGAAAGTATTTTTCACCGTGGTAAAAAACTGTTTTTCTTGTAGTGTATATAGAAATGCACATAGTACGTTATCACCTTACACCACAATATGTTATTAGTTGAAAAAAAGCTACTTGATGAAACACATAGCATGTAGAATAACCTAATGTTAGAGCAGCTGCATATTCGCTTTTGATAAGTAATTAGGCCAGTAGCATGTAGATTACGAACTCTCAATATCATTAGTATTGCTATTTACTTAGTGCCATACGTATATAAATACTGGTAGGAGAAAAAAAAATATATAAATATAGTGTTAAAACCTAAGGAACTAATAGAAATAACCCGTTGATGTAATAAGATAGCCCCAAGAAAACAACTGAATCATAAAATTATAGAATTATGCCAAAATTTAGGACTTTGATGTCAAGTTCTTAAGACTATGTTATCTATATAGGCAATTATGCATATCTTGATAGGAAAGCAGTGACTCAGAAGATCACCTAACCTGTGTAAACTCTGCTCTGATATGCCGGAACCACCCGACCATCTTTTCTTCCAGTGCTCCTTCATTCGTCCCATTTGGTCATTTATTCAAACACGTCGTGGGTTCTACACATTTGCCTTCATCGTGGTCTGAAATGGCATCGATTCATAAGTGTGCCGAATCAACCAATCACAGAACAACCATTTCCAAACTCTGCTTCGCCTCATCGGTGGTCCTCTGTTCGTCTGATGAATGTCACTGAATTGCTACTTGCTGCTGATTCTAGATGTGCATTATATGAGTCGCTCCCGGAATTCATTTCAGAAATGTTAAATACATTCAAAGTATGGCCTGTGAAATTATTAGAATTTAACAAATTAGAATTTAACTCATAGTTCGACCAAACTAAATGAATGACATAAGATTCAACAAAGAATGACAAAATTAAATCAAAAAAGTGAACTCCTAATGGAAAGGTAATACCTATGACACCAATTAGAAAGTTGAGCTTCAATTCCCCGTTAAAAAGTTGCATGTACCCCGACCTTTTTGGCATTTTGTAAATGGTTGGTTTGAGTTGATGAACCTAATGAATGGATAGCTTTTGATAAAAAAAATAAATATAAAAATAAAATAAAATAAAATAATGATAATAAAAAATCATCAATAATTTTGTTGCATTCTCTTGAAATCATTCACCAAGTAACTGGACCTCGCCTCATTAAGCATTGAGCGTTCACGTCAGAAGGGGATGCTTGGAGATTATGTCAATAACAAAATGACTTGTTGAAGTTTGAAGCCTAACTAAATTGAGTTATTAAACCACTTGGAGTGTTTCTACACTTATTACCCTCTGACCATCAGGTTTGGGAGTCTTTGGCCTAACATTCGCTACATGAGTTGGATAGAAAACTTAATAAACTTAGGCATTGCACAACCATTTAAAAAAAATTTAATAAAATAAATAAACAAATTCATGCCTAAATGATCTTATTTCAAATGGGGAATCAATTATTTGAAAACTCTTATAACTTGCATTGGAAGGGGAAGGTAAAGTCACATAGTGAGAATCCGCCTCACTTTTGAAAGAAGCAAGAATTGATTTCTATTAGAGAAATGACATTTGAGTTGTGTATATGGACTATGATGATATGGTTGTAAATGAACCGAGTTGTTCATGTGCAGATCGGGCTTGACTCGGGCTTGTTCGTTTAGTAAACGAGTCAAACTTGAGCAATGTTAACCTCAGCTCGTGAGCTCGTGAGCAGGCTCCTTTAAATAAAGCACATTATATTTAACTGTTATTATATTTAAAAGCCTAGCACATGCATTTAAGTTCAGCCCATATCACACACCTTTCATTGGCCCAATGCATATAATCTTTAGAGGCACATCATACTAACAAATTAGCCCAATTGAAGAATTATTCTCAACCATTGGATTAGTTATAAAATTGTGATACCCCTCGATTCTAGAGCCACGAGTAATCAAGTCCTAGCACAGATCCGAGGGATATTAGACAATAAATATGTAAACAAGCAGGAATAAAAACTAAATTAAGAATAAAATAATAATGCGCTGAAAGAAAACTAAAATAAAAATCCTCAAACTTTAAATAATAAATTAATATAATTTAAATCCTTCAAACCCGTATAACTCGGGAATCCATCTGGTGGTCCCCTAATAATCCTCAAATGAAAACAATGTACAAATTGATATCCAAAACTAAAATAGAAAGGAAATCCTATGTAACCGGAAGAGTGAGTGTCTGTATCTACATCAATACAATCAAACTCTAAGCCTGCTACTGACGAACACCTGAAAAATAAGAGTGGGTTAGGCCCACATGTAAGTTCCATCCTACTACAATCCGTACATAAACCCGATACGCAGATACATCCTAGATAGCTCGGCAATATCTAACATAGTCCGTATAGATATAGGTACACACTATAGGATACTCACTAACCTATAGTCATCACACCTGAGTAGAAGATAACATGCAAAACGTCATAACGTAGTCAGGCACACCTAGACTACCAGGGAACGTCATTAGGTCCAGTTATCCATCCAAGCGATATACGCACCCTAACTGTGATCAGGAGACTCAAGCTCGTATCACGGTACCATAAGTATATATATATATAAATTCGTCCTAATACAGAAAAATAAAGTAACCATCCGTTATGTCGTTCAACTATTTTAGTTGACAGGACATTCATCCATGTAGAATTTAACTATTTTAGTTAATCCATTCCGTATGTATGAAGAGGTAGGATTTAGCTTTGTGATCTAATCTATCTCCAATATGCTACCGTCTTATACCGATGCATATAATGCATATGATCCATAAATGATGCATACTCAAATGAACATCAAGTATATCCAGAAACCAACATAATGGAAGCCAAATATATGCAAGGTTCTATTATGTATCCAGTATATAATTCTAACCATATATTCTCCATTTAAATTGCTAAAGTACAATAAACAATTTAAATCATCCACATCCATATAATTGACAGAATTGAAATTATAACAATTCATCAATTAACATCCATAGTACGATATAATGATAAACAGAATTATAACTGAGCACATTATACTAGAATGCCAAAAATACCTCCATATTAGTCCATTTGATTTGCTAAATTAAACCAGAAATCAAGTGCTCCTCAATTCTTAACGCCATGCAGATTACTATTCAAATCTCACGTCGTTCATTTAATCCTTAACTATAAATCTTGTTTATGATCTAATGACACTTAGAAGTCTAAAATGCACCTTATGAAACCCCAATAGTATTTTGATACTAATCCATTTAAATTAGTTAAAACACAACCAGCGAGTAAAACTTCCTCAACTCCTGACATTATATAAATTAATGCCTAAATTTAATGGCGTCCCTTTCCAGATCACACACCCACATTCCTGGGCCTTAATTATGTGTTATATATCTTTGATATAACATCCCTAAAATATCTTTCCTTTCAGTCCATTCAATTGGCTAAATAAACTAGGAGTTTAAGTCTTCCTCTTTCCTGGACAGCATGCACATTAATCTTTAAAAATTCATGATGTCCATTAATATTAGCACACTAGCATATCCTAACTATTTTAAGGTTTTAATAGGTTAATTTTAAACATTTAAAACCCCACATCAATTTTCAAAAATTTCATTTAGGCCCTGAAATAAATAAATAAAATCAGCAAAACGCACTTACTGTGCATTTACAAAAGAGGAGCTGGCTCCACAAAAGTTTGGAACTGGCTCCATCCTCTTGGAGCCACCTCGACAAGAGTGTGGAGCCTACTCCACTTCAATGGAGCCACCTCCACTCTCCCAGCCTCTGTTTTCTCCAATTTCGGACACTTTCTGACTTTCCAGTTACCCCTGTTAAAGTTCCAGACCATCCCAACTAATTATAAGAAGTAATTTTGTATCACTAAATGAAACAAAACAAGTGTACATTCAAGAGAAATCCAAGTTAAAACAATTCAATTCCATGAAATTTAACTCCATTAAATTCAGGCATGCTAATTAAATAAATTTTAATGTCCATTTAAGTCCTGGAGACTACCTAGGCATGCATAGAATACAAGTTTATAGGAAGGAGATAGAATGAAACTTGCCTTTAGGTTTTGGGTTGAAACTATGCAACGTCGCCTCTAAACTCCGGCAACCCCCAAGACTGTATTCTTCCTCTGATCACTGTTCCCTTCCTCCATTACTTCTTCATTCCATCCAGAAGCAACCCCTCTGTTCTTCCTCCTTTAGCCTCACAGATTATCACTCGAGACCCTCTCTATTTTCCTCTCACATTTCTCTCTGTTTTTCCTCCCCAGACTCTATACGTGAATAGGGTTGTTCAAAACCTATATTGTTCTATATATATAGACTCATGCAAAACCCTAATCCTAATTCCAACCTACTTATACGTCGGCTAACCTAATTACATAAAACCAAACCCTAAACCTAAATATATGCAAACACTGTAGTAACTAAAGACGTCCATTACAATTAAATAAATAATTAAATAATAACATTTAAAACAAATAAATAAGGAACAACACATAAATAAATATAATCAACTAAATCATTCAAAACACTCAATAATTACATTAAAACAATTTCTAATTAACAATCAATTTAAATACACATAAATAACCAATTAAGCAAATATAAATAAACCAAATTCACCATTAATCAATTAAGGAAACAAAACATATAAATTACATAATTAATTGCAATAAAAATCAGAATTAAATTTCCATTTTATCCTTTTGAAAACTAGGGGTATTACATTCTTCACCCTTAACAAAAGGAATTCCATCCTCGGAATTCACGAAACTCTGAATTAATGACTATGCAAAATTCATTTCCATTTTTGTGTGGCACAGCCGCTTTAGATGAGCTCCACCAAATTCCAACATATCCAACAATATACTAAGTTTTGATGTATAAGAAAATAGCATAAATGTACCACTCCTAAGGTGTATCTATCAACGATCCCATCTTACCCAATATTTAGCGAAGGGTAACGATCTCTATTCCTCCAAGTTCCATAGAATAGATGCAAAAATCCCTATGCATCCAGTGCTAGCTAATTGGTAACGCTAAGTAATAGACGATTGCCTAAATCGATAGGCAAAAGTCGTGAAAAGTCAGTGTAATGTGTAAAACTGACCTTCCTCCCAAAATATAGTGCTCCTATATGGAAGTCGGCCAAAATAACCATTTCCTGGTAAAAACTCTTATATACATGATGAGTGTAGAAAAGTGCATACTTAAAACTCTTAAGCTTAGGCATTCTACTACCTTTATCTATCTTACTTTGCCGTTTTAGATTGATTTCGTATTATTTCCATTTTCAGGCACTTATCTCGAAAATAAGCTAACTCAGCCAAATAAGAGCTTAATTGAAGCAATTCTGGGATTAAACAAAGAAAGGAGCAAAGTGGAGAAAGAAAGAAGCAAATGAAGCAAAGCAGCAAGTTCGATCAATCCAAGTCCAAGGTTCGATTGATCGATCTCAGCACTTCAAGATAGATCCAAGCCTTGGCCCAAAAGCATAAAGTCCAAAAGTTCGATCGATCCAACATTACTCTTCGATCGATCGAATACCTTTGTCCTTATTCAAATGATTGATCTTATCCACAGTTGTCCACCCACTAACCACTTTTGTCTTTTTCCCAAAAATATCTCCCAAAATATCTCAGATTTGTCTTTTCTAAAAAAGCTCAACCAGTTGGATTGATCCAGCCTCAATTCAATAGATCTCAGCCAGTTCGATCGATCTAAGTCCAAGGTTCGATTGATCGAACTTCCTCCAGTGCAAAAGTTAAAATTCCAGCTCATTGAAAGTTGTCCTTTATCCAATCATTAGGGAATATTGTGTGCACGACCCAAACTCATTTTAGGTGTCATTTTGACCTACCTATATAAGGATAAGGATTACTTTTTACAAGATATAGAATTCTAGGGTTTATTCTCAAGAGGAGAGAAAAGTTTTAGAGGAGAGGAGGCTAGAGACACTATTGGAGTTCTTCATCAACAAGGAGCAAATCTCTTCCATGGAGTTAGCCCTTGAGGGTTGGAGCAACATCACTATAAGTGGCTAGACATCCTCTTGGGGCTAGAGTTAGCCCCAAACATGCTTTCTATATCTTAATCTTGTGTATTATTGAGGGATTAGTGTTGTAATTAATGTTTTGACACTTTGATATATATAGATCTTGTTTATTCAATGATTTATATGATTTAATATTTCTAATTGATCATTTTATTCTATCCATATGTCTATGTATGCTAGAATAGATGTTCATGTTCTTGTCTCTAGATTTGG